GCCTCCGCCCTCGCAGCCTGGGAGCGTAGGTGGGCGCGGCGCCGTCCCTGAGCCGGCGGCCGGGACTCTGGCTTCCCGGTCAGCCCCCACTTGCAGCTGATCTCCGCAACCTCGCCCTCTCCCCAGGCATCGCCCCTCGTACAAAGAACGAAGTGGTCCGCGATCTGTTAAAAGTCCCGCAGCAACTCGTTTTGCAGGAGTTTGCACCCGAGTTAGAGGAGGGCAGAGTGTGGGTTTGAGGGGGCTGAGACCGCTGGAGACGCCAGTTACGGAAAATCAGTGTCATTTCTCACTTAAATGCACAAGTGCGATCTTTGGGCGCCGAGCCGAACCGAGTCGCCCAGGAACGTCCTGGAAGGGTCAGGACGGTTCCTTCCGAAACCTCGGCGATCGCATCCACTCTCAGGCCCGGTGCTCGAAGCTCTCCACACCCCTGAAACTGATGCATTTTGATTTGTGGTCTTTGTGCCATAGGCTAGACCCTGTAGGCGACTCCTCTTCTCTGTGCCCTCTCCACACTTGCACGTTGAGACTTTTTCACTTGGTTGGGTTTTTAAAAGATGAAATAGTGTTAAAGCGTAATGGAAAATTAGTCGTTTGATCGTATATTTTCTTTAGAAATAGGAATGTTGCATTCTTTCCAATTAGCAGTTTTATTAGTGTGATTAGAAGCAGATACCATTAATAGTGTTTTCAACTTGACAGTGAACTTCATTGATTTCCTGACCAGCGGCTTTGTAAAAGAAAGGGGCTGCAAAGTAGGAAGTGAAGAACTTTGAAAGCGGTGTTTTTTCTGTGTATTTGATTTCCTTTAAGGGCAACTTTTGAGCTGCTTTCCCAGAGTCACATTTTTTTACTGTTTCATGTTTATTTTTAATTTCTGAAAACATTTTGTTTCCCGTATAAAACCTTGTCATCTGAGCAACTGAAAGCCTTTATAATCTCCTTTTGAACCATAATAGACCTTTTTAAATCCTTGTGTGAAAGGCAGTTATGGTAGAATGCTGTGGTTTTTAGGATGATGCCAGGTTCCCTGTTCTTCCCCATTTCTTCAGGGAACTCGTTAATGCATGAGTTTCTTTCTTAAAATAACTGTAATTTCTTCCTGTAAACCTAGGTAAATATTAACTAGGTGAAAGTCAAATGGAATTGCACTTAACACTTTTTGGTTTCAGTGAGATCTTCTGATTGTTTATCAGGATATTTTCTTCCTGTTGGCCTGTTAAGGAGGAGTGTTGCTATAATTGGAGCCCATTACTTATTTCTTGAGCCACTTGCCTGTTACTTTGTTATATATTGGGTTTTCTGGTAACACCTAGGTTCGGGAACTGCTGCCCTCTCCTGCTCTAATTTCTTGGTAATCACAGAATGAGCACCCTGTCTCTAGAGAGTTTAGATAATTGGGCTGTTCCATCCCTAGCATAGAGGCTTTGGGAAGAGAAACCAGACTCATCAAAGTTTTGCTTCCAAATGTTGCATCACTCAATCATAGTATAAATTCTTGTCTTGTTGATGTCATCTAGGACATCCATTTATACACAAATGATGAAATTTGTATATAAATCAGCCTAGTTGCTGATTTCATAAGACTGGAGAAACTACAAGTTTTGGCAACACTTTTGAGCAATTTTCTTTAACCCCTTTGGCATTTATCTAGTATGACTGGGAGATGACATGTCACATAAAATTATTTTATGATACCTGAATCTTATTTTAGTTCCTTGATTTTTTTTTTTAAGACATTGTCTTTCATTAACTTTTTAAGAGTGTACTCAAAGAATTTAGACTTTCTTTTTTGATGATAAGAGCATAAATAATTGGGCCCAGCCGGTGTGGCTCAGCTGTTGAGCATCAACCTGTGATCCAGAAGATAATGGTTCAGTTCCTAGTCAGGGCACATGCCCAGGTTGCAGGCTCCATCCCCAGTTGGGGGTGTGCAGGAGGTAGCTGATCAATGACTCTCTCATCATTGATGTTTCTATCTCTCCCTCTCCCTCCCCCTCTCTGAAATCATAAAGATTTAAAAAAAACAAAAAACAAATAATTGTTCTCTGTCACAGAACAGAGTTACCCTCAGAGACCTAGTCCTAATGCCACTTGCCTCTTGGTCAAGATTGCCGAAAACTGGTATGCTTTTGGAGAATTTTTCTGCCTGATTTAAATTTTTTTGGCAGTCTTCTCCTGTCAGAGAGCAGATCTTGCTTATATGCAATTCTACCTTCTCCTTCTCATTTGTTTTAATATGGGGTACATGAATTGCTATTGAAAACATATACATATACATATACATATATATGAGCATAGATGATTCTTTAAAAATTTTTTATTCTGAAATTCACACACAATAATTGTATTACAAAATATGAAAAAGTAACCTCTGAATAAGAGCCTAAGGGTCTGTTTATAAAGAATGTTAGCTTTAGTGTATGGATTTTGTGACATACATTTTGTCTTTTTAGTGACCTTTGTTTTCTCCAGGATTCTAAGCTATATTCTGGGTACACTGGCTTCTGAATAAATAAGGTGTTACTATATAGTATTTATAGTGGTGAACTTAGCTGTTTGGCAACTACATTAAAAAAAGTAGAGATGGTTTTTTACTTCTTCAGCATTTCTTATAACATATCTTTCGAGTTCAGAGAATTATTTGCATTTCAGATCTAGCCCAACTCTCATAGAAGAAAGAACTGACACTCAGATATAATCACTGTATTTAGACAGCCAGCTGGTGGGAAATAGGACCCAGCATTTCCTGACTTTCAGTTAAGAGCTGTATCTGCTCTGCTATATCAGGCACACTATCTTCCCCTTCCCTCCCCACCCTCTCCTTTCCTCCTGCTCCTCCCTCTTCCCCCCTCTGCTCCTCGCCCATTCCCTCCATCCCTTTCGTTCCTTTCGGTAATTCTACAGATATTTTTTAAGTGTTAAGAGCTGGGCGTAGCATCAACAGAAAACGTTTTCTGTTGTGGAGCAGTTTAAAAGGAAAGACAAATACAAATCAATGTAAATTACAGCTGTAATAACTATACAGTGTAAGGAGAGCCTCTGCACATGCACATCCCTCTGCTTGGAATGCTCCCCCAGATATCCACATCGCCCAGTTTCTCATTTCATTTAGATCTCTGCTCAGATGTCACCTCATCAGAGATGCCTACCCAGGCCACTGTGTCCAGAATAGCACTCCTTCCCCTTACTCTACCTGATTTTTTTTCATAGCACTTGACGTTTATTTGATGACTTTTTAAAAATCACTTTATTCTCCCGCTAGAATGTAAGCTTTATGAGAGTAAGAGCTTTGATTTTTTTTTTAATGATTTTAGAGACAGGAAGGGGGAGAGAGAGCGGAGAGATATCAGTTGGCTGCCTCTTGCACGTGCCCCAACTGGGGATCAAAACCGCAACCTGGGCATCTGCTCTGACTGGGAATCAAACCCACCACCTTTTGGTGCACCAGACGATGCTCCAAACAGCCAAGCCACACTGGCCAGGGCAAGAGCTTTGATTTTTTTTCATTGCTCTACTTTCAGAATCAAGATGTGACACACATTAGGTGCTCAATAGATATTTGTTGAATGAATATAATAGGGGAATTGTTCTAGTCAGGAGGTTTGGAAAAACTTTACAGAGGAAGAAATGATTGAGCTGAGATCTGAAGGAAGAATAGAAATTACCTTGGAGGAAAGAGGAAAGGAGTAGTAGGAGGACAAGAGTGCAAGCTCCCTGAGTGTGAAAGGGCCTTACCTTGCTTATTAACATATCCCCAGCTCCTATTAAGTATTTGGTGCTTGGTAAATATTTTTTGAATAAAATGAATGAAGAAGTGTTTGACGTAGAAGAGATAGCTTGTGCTATGACCATATAGATGAGGGGACCTGCTGATTTCCAGAAAAGGAAAAAGGGCCAGTGTCACTGGAGGGCAGAGGGCAAGGGTAGGTAGCCTGCTGTGATTGATGTGTCAGGGGAAGTAAATGGCAGATTATGAGGCCCTATGTTGAACTGACCAAAGCTGATGGTAAACTCAGTATTTTCCTAATCATTTACATTGCATTCCCTTGTGAGCTTCCTCATTTGCTGTAAAATAAAAGTGCACATATTTTTTTTTCTTTCTGTAACTGAAAATATTATGGCACTAAGGACTGAGTAAATCTGTTTAGGGTTGACAGGACCTACATTAGTGATCTAAATGAAAACTAAATCTACCAGGCTACCATGTCAGTGGGTTTCCTTGATTTTGCCCACTTTAATTCAGAGAAGTATATCAGTAGTACTTGGCAGTATTTAACTCCTTTACTATTAATTTTGGTTTGTATATGTTCAATTTTTGTCTTGATAACTTTAGACCTTTGTACAAATCTTTGGAATTTTAACTACATCACTAGAAAGAGGACATGTGATTCTTTTAAGCATGTGCTTGCAGAAATATGAGTTATAAATCATTTATTTCTTTGCTTAATTCTAGGCCATAGATTAACTATACCTATTCAAGAAAATTGTTTCTGTTCACTGATATATGTGAACACCCTTTGTAAAATACACCGCTTTGGATAGGTGTGTGTGTGTGTAACTTTAGAAACTGTTTCACCTGTAGAATGCATCTATTAAATAGAATGCATCTATTTAATGTCTTAAAATAGTGATACCAGAGAAGGATGTACCCATTATCCTGCATTTTCTAACGTGTAGGAGATTAGGGGAGGAAACCAGCTAGCTTTCCCAATTATTTAAAGATATGTAACAAAATTGATTAAAATTATTAACCACAGATAGCCTTGGACACTTTTTCTTACCAGTTTTGTGCACATTGGGGGTACAGTATGTATAAAAAGCAAAGTCTGAGCTGGAGAGATTTTCCCAAAGGGTAAGGCTTCTTAAGTCCAGTAAAGCTGACAGTGCAGTTTCTCCACATACTGCTTTTCAAAACTGTAATGATCTGTGGAGTAAATATAATCCTAATGTCTGGAAGAGCATTGATTGTGCAGATTGAGAATGGAACCGGTAATTAGGGAATGCAGTGGTGTGCTAGCAATAGGTCAGGGCTTTGAAAATCAATATTGCTTCATTTGCCTTGAAGATGCTACAGAAGACTTATTCTGAGACTAGGCAACACATTTTGAAAGGTAACTCACTTTTAATGCATTTGTTTTTTGTGTATTGTTTTGCTTTTTGCTTCTGGGATTACAAGTAATTTTCAGACTGAAATATTAATTTAGTTTAATTAATATTTCTACTTGACTTTTTATTTACTTTGCAGCTTTGATTAGTTTGTCCTTTGGAGGAGCGATTGGGCTGATGTTTTTGATGCTTGGATGTGCCCTTCCAATATACAAGTATGTAAAATTTTTGTCTTTTTGTGTATATAAGGATAAAATTTTTCTACTTTTAAAGCTTTAATAATTTTTTTTACTACTGTAGAAGTAATCCTAAGAAATATTCATTTACCAGGGACAAACCTTTTTTAAAATGCTTCACTTAAAATTTGTTTGTAAATATTTTAGGACACCAAGATGCAAAAAAGACTTGGCTATTACTCCTAGACTACTGCTCCTAGACTACTGCTAAATCTGTAACTGCAAGATAACAACACAGTAGCCCAGCACTATTGCGCACTTTTGAGGACCTACTGATAAAATTACATACAAGAAAATTAAAAATGCCTTTTTAATACCATAAGCAGTGTCAAGGGACAATTAACTAAGGAGAAAAGTTATGTAAGCAATTACTTTCCCTAGGATAGAGAGAACTTTAAAAAATTACTAAGAAAAATATAGGCAACTTAATAGAAAATTGAAACAGGTATGGAAAGTGAAAGCATATTTTCAACAAATATGTAAAAGAACTGCAAATTGCTTATAAGCCCATGAAAATACACTCAGCCTTACTCAAATTCATTGGTAAAAATAAAAGATATAGGCACACTGGCATTGTTGTATACTATGATGGAAGTATAAATAAATAAGAGCAGTCTTTTTGGAGGCCAGTTTTTCAGCTCTCAAAATGTATACTTTGAACTCACCCTCCCACTTCTTAGAATTTCTCACACAGATCTCCTTAATGGATGTTTGCAGAGATGTGTAGTTGGGGGAGAAGTTGGAGGAGAGTATGGATTGTTCATGGCAGCCTTGTTTGTAAGAACACAAATAGCTGGAAGCGTCCTAAGTGTCTATCAAAAAAAAAAAAAAAAAGTTAAATTATGGCACATCCAATCAATGGAAATATGAAGCGGCCTAAAAAGAATGAGGAAGAACTGCAATTGCTGATATGTAAAGTTTAAAACATATTGTTAAATGAAAAAATGCAGTGATTCATTCATTTTTTTTTTCCTTTTTTCCATCCTCACCTGAGAATGCGTTCATTGATTTTAGAGAGAGGAGATGAGAGAAAAAGAGAGAGAGAAACATCGATTCAAGAGAAACATTGATTGGTTGCCTCCCCGATAGGTCCTGACCTGGGATCAAATCCAAAACCTAGGTATGTGCCCTGATGGGAAATTGAACCCGAAACCTTTTGGTGTACTGGACTATGCTCCAATTAACTGAGCCACCCGGCCAGGGCTCATTCATATTTTTAAGTTTATTTATGTGGAAATACTGAAGGATCCACAAGAAGTTCAATAGGAGAGTAGGAAAGAAAAAGCAGGGGAGATGGGAACAACTTTGAGTGTTCACTTTTTGTGCTTTTGTATTGTTTGAATTTTTTTTGTAAGCATATGTCCATTTGTAATTTTTTCTATTCTCAAAATATTTCAGAAAAGATTTTTAGTAAAAACATACATACATCTTTGCTTATCATAAGCCTGTAAGTATGAACAAATCTTCACTCCGATGTGTATGTTATTTTAACTTACTATTTTGAAATAATTATGGACTCTCAGGAATTTGCAAAAATAGTACAGAGCAGTCCTCTCTGCCCTTCACAGCATCCCCCTCTGTGCTGTCTTACACAACTGTAGTTATAATACCATAACCAGGAAATAGCAATACAGTAGCCAGACTGTAGACTAATAGCCATCTATTTTTATTGTAATAAATTCTATATTCTGGCTGAAAGTTTTCAATATTACTTCCAGTTCATTTTCTCTATTTTGATTTCAGTATTTTGAGAGTTCCTAGTGACCTTAGAAAAGTTTGGAGGTGTTCCAGCTTTATGCTAAGGCAGGATATTGAAGTCAAGGGCATGAATTTTTAATTTTAAAAACCGCTGTGATAACATTCCCATTTTTCATATGCCTCTTTATTTATAACCTAAGATGAAAAATATTTTAAATTTTGGGCCTTGGTTCCAACTGTTACCATTTATAAAGCATTTTCTTTTCATATAAGAAATATTTTACTAATTGTATCATAACTGACATTAGGCATGCTGTGACTCGAAATGTTCCTCTTTTGAGTGTCAGGTTATAGCTTATGTTTAAGCTGTATCGTGTTTTGTACATTGCAGTATTCCTTTGGTCCATATTTTTAAAAAGCATATTTTATGTGTAGGAAGATGACATAGACAGGAAAACTACATTCACTTCTTTTTCTTTTTCTAGCAAATACTGGCCCCTCTTTGTTCTGTTTTTTTACATCCTTTCGCCTGTGCCGTACTGCATAGCAAGAAGACTCGTGGATGATACAGACGCTATGAGCAACGCTTGCAAGGAACTCGCCATATTCCTTACAACGGGCATTGTGGTCTCAGCTTTTGGACTCCCTATTGTATTTGCCAGAGCACACCTGGTAAGTGAATGCATTCTTCAGTAATGTCAAGTTTTTCTCCAAAACTCTTTGTTAAAAACGTTTTTGTTAAAATGACATGAAAAAGAGAGACATGGGAACCTCACAGATAGAGATACTTCTATTTTTGTTAACTGATAAAAATGATGTTGGAGAGCATGGCTCAGATCTGCAGCACAGTTGACTTACTGATACTCTGCTGTCAGAATTGGGTGCAACAGCTAATCAACCTGGTGCTGAGCAACCACAGGCCCGCCCTGCACAGCTTGAAACATGGAAGACCCAGGGAGATCTTGTGATCTTTGCAGGTGAGACGGTATAAGAGAGGAGAAGGCTGGGTTACGTGTACTCAGTTCTTCCTCCCAGATTCCCCAGTCATAGCTTCACTCATTTATCTCTGGGGAAGTAGAGAAGATGGAAGACAGGACGGCTCCCCCTTCCATGTGGAGAAGGCAATGTCTGCTCCTGCCCCCTTAAAAGAATATACATGTGTGTTTGTACCTCTGATGCTTTCAAATTAATCTGCTCTCTAGATAGAATTTTAGATTTACAAAGAGTTGGAGCAAATTTCTTTATAAACAGAAAATTGTAGAATTCTATGCTTCCTTCTCCTAGCCCAGAATCAAGCTTGCTTTTGAATAGTTAATCATCATCTTTCCATGACTTCGTCTTTTTAAGGGAACTAGAGGTAAATACAAACAGTGATATAGAAGTACTGCTAGGTGTTCAGTGGTATTTTAGGTGATGATTGGCTTATGATTAGAGCCTTGGTTTGCTTTTCATTTTCTTTTTGTTTTTGTATGTCTGTTAACTCAATGTCTATACCTTATTTCCATAGATTGCATGGGGAGCTTGTGCACTTGTTCTCACAGGAAACACAGTCATCTTTGCAACTATACTGGGCTTTTTCTTGGTCTTTGGAAGCAATGACGACTTCAGCTGGCAGCAGTGGTGAAAGAAATTACTGAACTATTGTCAAATGGACTTCTCGTCATTTGTTGGCCGTCTGTGCACACAGGAGATGGGGCAGCGATGCTGAATGGTATAGCAAGCCTCTTGGGGGTATTCTAGGTGCTCCCTTCTCACTTTTATTGTAAGCATACTATTTTCACAGAGACTTGCTAAAGGATTAAAAGGATTTTCTCTTTTGGAAAAGCTTGACTGATTTCACACTTATCTATAGTATGCTTTTTGTGGTGTCCTGCTGAATTTAAATATGTGTTTCCCTTCACCTTTTTTTTAAAAAATCAATATGCAGTGTTAAACATTTTTTAAATGTAATAACCATTCACATTGGTTAGGAATTAGATTTCTGCTGGCTATTATTGGGCTAAAGTATATCTTTTCTCTTAAAATTATTTAACCTTCATTATTACAAAAAGTTATAAAAGTAAGTTTTCAATCAGTCAGGATGACATCACTCCCAATTTTATGCAAACATTCAGACTCTTGGCATACCTTATAAACTATATACTCAGTGCAAATATAGCTGCATTTATACCTCAGAAGGGCCGAGTATTAATGCCCGTGCTGGTTTTGCCAGTAAGCAGGTGTTTTGTGAATTGAAAATTATTTTATGGAATTGCTACAAAGGAGAGCTTTTCTTCTCGATTGTTGAAGAATTTTTGTTAAACTTTAAGGTAAGGGTGTAAAAACAGATTTTTGAGATATNAAATCAATATGCAGTGTTAAACATGTTTTAAATGTAATAACCATTCACATTGGTTAGGAATTAGATTTCTGCTGGCTATTATTGGGCTAAAGTATATCTTTTCTCTTAAAATTATTTAACCTTCATTATTACAAAAAGTTATAAAAGTAAGTTTTCAATCAGTCAGGATGACATCACTCCCAATTTTATGCAAACATTCAGACTCTTGGCATACCTTATAAACTATATACTCAGTGCAAATATAGCTGCATTTATACCTCAGAAGGGCCGAGTATTAATGCCCGTGCTGGTTTTGCCAGTAAGCAGGTGTTTTGTGAATTGAAAATTATTTTATGGAATTGCTACAAAGGAGAGCTTTTCTTCTCGATTGTTGAAGAATTTTTGTTAAACTTTAAGGTAAGGGTGTAAAAACAGATTTTTGAGATATGGTTTTTATTTATGTTTATTATAGTTAAAGAGTTGCATTGTGGGAGGAAGTGATGTTGAAATTTTATTTCTATTTATAAGGGAAATTTTTGATCTGTCAGCCTTTCATGTTTTACTATGGGTAAAATGGACATTCGTGGAACTACTACTGATAATGGAAAGTTATATGTTTGCATCATATATACAGAAAACCTTACCGTTTCCTCCTTTTAACTTATTTTATACAATGTATATATTAAGTAAAATAACTTCTCAAATATAATTTAATAACACTTCAAATTAGTGGTATTTAACTCACCTGGAAAGTAATTGCTATACCATACATTCAGAGTGGCTCCTGCCCCACAGGCCTTGACATGATTAACAAGTGACTTGTTAGCCTTGCAGATAATTCATGCATTAACAATTTAAGATTTAGACCATGGTAATTGTAGTTCTTATTCTCTAATGTTATATCATATGTAATTTAAAACTATTTAAGGCAAGATTCCTGTATACCTCTCAATTGTTTTCGTTTTTATTTTATCATGATAGAGCTGCTGTTTCCTTTTAAATGGCATTTATTGCATGAATTAATGCAGAGTAGCCAAATCCAGCTCTACAGCAGCTTCAGACACAAACCTGACCCCAAAATTCCCAGTAACCAGGCATGATCAGATTATAGTGGTTATTTGCAGCTCCCAATTATCAGTACTTCTTTCAGGAGCTAGTTATGAAAGGACATTCGTTTGTATATTTATTTGGTATATTTCCATAAAAAATTGTTTTGCCTTCAGACAAAACAGTCCTCATGACAGCTATCTTTTGTTATTTTATAAAGCTTATTTCTCAAGAAAATGGGAACAATTTGGGGTTTGGTCATCTTTTTACTAAAGATGCCTAAAGGCCATGGATTTTATAGCGCAACTCAAGTGGTTACTTTCAGCTGTGAGATGGGAAGCAGGATGAGCAATCTGCATGTGGTTGTCCCATTTACACATTAGGCTGAGAACAGCTTGCAGTGTTAGAATGCTGTAGACTTGAAGGTGGTGGTACAGGTTCACATGCGTTAGCTGGTGGAACTGCTGGGAACTCAGTGCCTGTTAGCTACTTGATTTTTTTGGCAGGAAGTACATTCTCTGGTCCTTCCCCGTTTTCTGTTCTAGAATGTCAGTGCAGTACACTGCGACTGTTTTATTCCCTTGGCCATAGACTTCTTCCAACGGCTGCATATTCTTTCTGTGTACTAACTGCATTGGCAGCATCGTGTCTGTGATCTTGCACACTAACTTGGCATAGTGCTGTCTTTGATTTCTAGGCTAGTTACTTGAGGTATGGATTTTCCATAGAATATGCACTGAGACTTCATTGCCATTCTTCTATGGAAAGAAAACTTTTGATGGTGAAACAATAAAGATTTTAAATATCTTTGTTAGTTTGTGGGTGTTTTTGAAATGAAAATGTACTGCACACTTCAGTTTCTGAAGTGCATTATCCTTTTTAATAGTGTGATATAAAGCAAGTATGACAGTTAATAACATTAGACTTTCAGAAGTTTCACTTCAAAAATAAAATTGAAACCATAGTAATAAATATTAAAATGAGCCCTATTCTATGATTTTGAGCTGTTAGTGAAAGAGTTGGTATGATCTGGGGAAGTAGAATTTTTACCCAACCTTTTACAAAAACAGCCATAGAAGGTTTTGTTGATGTAAAAAGATGACTGATAATCTAAAGTCAAGGTTGTACTTGGTCTTAAATTTTCAGGAACATTTTTATGACTGCATGTTTTAATGTCTTTATTACCATTTATTATTAGAGTATTTTGCTTTTAGTAAACATTTCAGACAGTTAAAAGTGAAAAAATCTATGCGGTACAAAGTGAACAGAGAAAAGTACTATTCTCTTTTGTCAAACATGAATCTTGTCCCAAATTATCCTAATTATAGTCTCATATACTTTATAAAGTTCAGGCTATAGGTTCTTAGTGTCTACTCTAATATGATTTTGAGTGCATTGTTAAAATAATCCAGATTTCTAGAGTAACTATAATATTTACATAAAATGTGACTAGATTCAAAAGTTTCATATAACTTTCAGTTAACACATCACATTAGATCTCAGGATGCTTTATGATGTTTAAAATTAGTGGGACACGCAAATTCACATTTCCATATAAACCTGTACTGTCCTTTTTCTCAGTTAAGACTAGGAAGCTCTTATTCTAGTACAAGTCTCCTAATTTTCTGTCATTCTCAGGAAAGAACTAACATTTGCTAATTGGAAACCTGAACGAAAGCAAATGTTCAGTCTGCCAGCAGTGGTATGCAGGCTTTGGCAGATGTGAGTTTTTTCAGAGGCAGACAAGATGCTGCATTCCACTGCTTTTAACCAGACACAGGAGGTTTGTGACTTGGGCAGTGCTTTCTTTTTTTT